CATCAAACCTTATGACTCCGTCACAGCCAGGGAAGAACAGGTGACAATGAGGTCTGCACCCCTTCAGGTCTGCAGGAAGTGTGACATGCATATGTGTGGTGCTGAGTGTCCAAATGGACAAAGACAAGCAAGGGAATGACTTTGGGATGAACATTGGTGGGGTTGAGGTCTAAACCCATTTTGTGATTATTTTGGGAGGTTGCATTGCCCGGTTTAGATTATTGGGACGGTTATAACCACCTCTCCATTTACCCCGTAATTTATGCCCATGGAGATGGCATTGTATTTTTCAAAATGATTAAAAACTTAATACAATTTGTAATGGAAGGTGCTCTAAAACCCTAACCCTAACCCTTTTCGGATCCATCAGGCGGTGTGTGATCAGATGTTCGCCTGGTTCCATTCCTGTGGTCAGCAGAGTGATGTCACCGTTAGATCCCTGAGCGAGACCCTTAACCCTAATTGCTCCAGGGACTGGCTGCCCCTGCCGCCTCAGTCGCACGTCGCTTTGGATAAAAGCTTCTGCTGTATAAGTCAATGTAATATGTCATTACAGATCATTGCGGATAGCGCCACTAGCGATGGGACTGTACCAGTACCCAGGTAACCAAGAAAGCCTGCAGGTCCTTCATGTAGAGCATTGCTTTCTGAGCACCATGAAGAGGTCACTGCAGTGCAGAGCCTGTCAGCTTGGATGTGCACCCAGACTCTACGATGTACGTCTCTGCTCTACCACTCAGCATAACTGCTGCCTTTCAAATGTACTGTTTGGTGTTTTTTTTGCAAGATGACATTAGCTCATATGCCAAGAAATGAACCACAATCAGGCCTGACAAGTCTGTGCTCACACATCACAGTTGCTTTTACATTGTCTAGTGTTTGCCGCCTTACGCATCCATGTGGAAGGCGTTTGTGCTCTTTTGATTGCTGGTTATGATATGCTCATTTCATAGTGAGTGCCGGTTGTGTTTTGCTTTGTAAATAGCACAATTGATAGGTGATGTATAGCATCTTGGGGCAAATTGTCTGGCCTTCAAATCTTACGTCTGATCGATAACCCTAACTCTCATATACATCATGCAGAAATGTACATCGAATACAGTCTTATTACCATCTTCTTAATGTGCCCTATACTTTTTCACTTTCTAGATATTTTATGAAATCTTCCTACAACAATAGAAGTAAACTTCCCAACTAATCAATATACCATGGTATTCTGTCGTTATGATTTATCTTCTGTAAAGTCAATTATGCACTGCTAGCAGTTAATAAAACAGTGAACTAGATGATTGTGATTGTTAATTTAGTGCATAAATAGCTTGTGGCTCATAATAACTGTGCCACATTAGTCAAAATCATGTATTCACGTATTATTTTTGACAAACACTGTACACATGTAAAATAGGGATAGAATCTAAATACAAGTAAATATATATATATATATTAATTGTGAAACTGGGAGCTAATCATTTTATTTGAAACCATGAATGGATCATTTCTGTGTGTCACACTGTTGCCAGTAATGTACCCGGCAATGTTCCATTATTGTTTATTCTCTCCAAGTGGTAATGAGTGCTCAGAGACCTATATTCATCCATAAATATGCTCTTCATTAATCTTTAACTGACTCTGAACTCTTTGATGAAACACATTGATGATAATAATTATGCCTCGTGTTAGCATGGTGTTAAAATCAGGGCGTCACTTTTTTTTCTTCTTTTTTTTTAATCTGTGCTCCTTTATAAGTAGATCATGTACTTCATAGATCAAGCTAATATTACCATGAAAATCACCCTGCTATGAATTGTGTATAGCTTATTATCTTGAAGAAGCTTACTGGAAACATACACAGGATCTCTTCCCATTTCTTCCTGTATAATTCTGTGGTTTGTGGTACTCACTGTTAGATATATATTCTACTCTGTATATGATACTGTATGTGATATTTTGCCTTCAGTGGGATCAGTTGGTCACCTGATGGAGCTTCCGGAAGATCTGGGCCTTTATTGGGGCCTCAGAGAGAATCCAGTGCTTTTTGCTGTTTGTTTGTGATCTTTCTTGATGTTGGTGAGTGGGTGAGTCACGTGAGGAGCATCTTTGGTTGGGTGGTCATAGATTCAGCTTGAGGACTTCCAGCAAAGCCCCCAGGTGTGCCACATGACAGGAAATGCAGGCCATCTGGTTCCATTGGTGATACAATGCTCTGTACTTCACTGTAGCTGGAAATAAGAAACGCTGAATGACATAACCAGTCCGTTATACTAGAGAGAGAATCCCGATGCCTGTCTATCCCTTTCAGAAGGTCCAGTTACTCTATACCTGTTGTACTACATCCACAGCTTTTATTATGGTGGAATATACAGACGCTCCTCTACTTACGAACTTTCAACTTATGAACTTTCAGACATACAAACGAAGAGGACTGAAAGTCCAAATTGTGTTCATTGGCCTCCCGTTTTCTGTCCATGCCTGAGCCACAAGCGTGCGTATTCCCAGCATCCTAGTTCTTTGTACTTGCGTACGCCCTTAAAATGATGTTGAATAACGGCTTACGAACATTTCAAGTTACGAACAGCCGTTCGGAACGTATCTCATTCATGAGTAGAGGAGCATCTGTATTCCTACTTTGCAAAAATCTACACCAGGAGCATGAAAGGGTACTGTTCAGTATGAAGGGAATCCCCTAACTTTATCTGAGACACATGAAGGTAAGGACTCGGTTGTCCATATTCCCCTGAGACCGGCTTTTTCTCCCAGCCTTTTGAAGTGAATGGTACGTAGCTGTAGTGAGATACAGAGTAGTGCCAAGAGGTCCGCTGCCGAGTTTCCCTGACACTTATTGCAAATTAGCAACATGTAGCCATCAAAGGCATGAATGACATTTCAGTTGATTCAGTATTATGTGCAATTGGAAAGCCAGGGGCAGTGGGTGGATCGCCATTCTAGCACAGATTTACTTTTAATACACACTGAAGTACGTGTGCCGGAGGGTTTCCTGAAAGCACGTCCCCGGGCTTCTGTAGGAGTGAAAGACTGTATTTCGGAAAAAGGTTTGGTCTGTGTTTGATGTCAAGGGAGGACCTGAGCTCAGGGACAAACAGGACGTCTCAGTCCCACCGGTATTTCCAAAGGTTAACATGGTATACAGTTAGGTTTGCTTTCCCCCAAGTTGTCTGACAATGCCTTTCAGTTTGAAGGTGCCAGGCACCATTCTGGGAGCTCAATAACTGGTACTAGTACCCAGGCACTGTCCACTAAGTAAACTCACACGCAAGGCGGTCATCACACCTCTGCCCCGGAAATCTGCAGGTGATCATGAGTAGAGGAAGGATGGATTTGACGTGAAGCTGCATGGTGGCCAGAAGTTTGATGATGCTGTCGGATGGAACAGGTTCCTGCTCCCTGGTTCTCTTGACAGCCTGGAGCAAACCTCTGGGATATCTGTGCACAGGGGAGTTTGAGCAGACAGGCCAGTGTTGGCCTGAGTGCCTGTCTCACCTGACACACAAGGTTGGCCAGTAATTGGTCCCAGTTCCTTCCTTCTGGATCAGTAGGGTTCCGCGGTGTGTCCCCTTGAGGGTTTTCTTGAAACAGTCCGCCAGGCTGGGTTCCTTTATTCTGTCAGGATGTCATTGAGAATCTGTAGGCAGGACATCTGGCCTTGCTCTGCTCTACATCGTTACATCACAAAGTGCACATACAAGCACTCCACCAAACTCTTTGTGGGGGGGTTTTTCCCCCACATAACATTATAAATTACATTATAATTGATAACATTATTTGGTTCAACAAAAAAGGACCTTGTGGCAGTTTGCTGTACTATTCATTGTACCAAAAGATTTTTTTAAATGGTTGTTTCAAATTATGCAGTTTTCACTAGACCTGTGTGGCTTAAATAATCAACCACCTGCTAGATTCCTCTTTACACAAACACAGACTGTTCGACAATTTTGACTAAAAAGGAGCATTATATAGAAAAATCATTTTTTTAAAAAACAGCCATTCTTCAACTATGGTATACTGTTCTTTTGTCTTTCATACAAAATACAATAAGCAGTAGATTAATAAATCTGGCGAAAGATTCAGCTTTATTAACACAGATGCTGCAAAGTGTGTGGTTTGATCAAACAGTGGGTATCTTGCATGCACCAATGATGGAACAGAAGTTGAGATAATTGTACCAAAATGCCATGCGTTTTCAGATACTGAGAGTGTTTCAGCCATCTGTTAATCCAAGATAGCCTTTATAATAAACTAAACATGGAACATCTCTCTTAATAACATGAAGACTGTCCAATGCAATGCAAGAGCCCGCTTCATTAAAGCAGGCTATTAAATTCTCTATTTTCAAAAGTAAATAGAGCAATGAAATTGTTTAATTTATGTTAAATCTTCATATTGAAATTCTATCTAAGGCCACTCATAATAAATATTGGTGTTTTTTTTTTTTTTTTTTTTTTTAACAAGGTCACCATGGAGAGATTGCACTGGTGCATCACATTATGATAATCAGCAGTGCAGTGCTATAAGGAAAAACCTGGATATGCACAGCCAACGAAAAACACTGCCATTAAATGTAATTCCTAATACTGATACACAATGCCTGTCAGAAATAATCATACTATTCTTATGATGGCTAATTTTACTGAATAAGAAGCAAATGTTAATACCAGTGACAGTAATAATTTCTCAAAGCTAAAATAGCCGACGGTATTTATTCACTTATCTTTAAATACTCCAAATAACATCTCAGACTGATTTCTAGGACCTTGTGCTTTGTGACTATAGTCAGTGTTTTGACATTTACATTATATATTGCTATTATTGAATTACAGCTATCACTGTGCACAGACGACAGCATTCAGGATTCAGTTTTCTGCAAATCAACGGCATGATATAGAAACCCACCCCCCCCCACATCATGGCTCGGAATACCTATAATTGTTCAACTGCATTATCAAAGAAAAGTTGCTAAATACGGATTTCTTGGCCTTTTACAGGAGACCTAAGATATTGGTTTAATGTCTAACGTCTGCCACTCAGGGAATGTGCGTTCCAGTAGACGGGTCTTCATCATGGCCCCACGACCGGTGGCGACTTCTCAATCGTGAAGGGGAATCACCCGCAGGCAGAAATGAAAACCGGCTCCTGTGTGGCATAACTGAAATCCGCGAGAGTCAAGTTCTGCCGCATGTGACTCAATTGCTTATTTTATCAGCTGAAGTTGCCCCCACTGACCTTTTGCTGGATATTACGCTGACCCAGTGTGGCCTATATGTGAGAAGAATTCTGTATGTTGGTCATCATACTGTAGATCAAGTGTAGTACAGGCAAGTGTTGAGTATGGAAATTAACCACCAAGTTGTATTAGTGTTATGCATGTAACACGTAAGGAAAACTCATTATCCTACTCAGCTTGTCAGAAAGGTTTTTCCTCGTATAAAAAGCTGAAAGACTGGGACTTGGGCATGCTAGATGAAGGCCAGATGTGACTCAAAGATGCATCAGAAGCTGAAGCCGGGAGACCCAGTAATCGGAAAAGGTAATCAAATAGTGAATATGTCGGATGTCCTCGGCATTTGAATTACATGCCTTTTCCCTCTCCTCTCACCACAATGCTCTAATCTTTTTTTATCCAACACTGCATCCCTGTCAGATGATACCTGTTACTTCTTTTCCAACCTGATACCACCCTAAGTGTTCCACTAGCGAACCTCTCGTCTTAGTGGGGATGTTGAAATGTAAACCCAAAATAAAAGATTTTTATTTGGTTTCTCCTGGTTGCAGTAGATGTCTTTTTTGCTACTTTTGATCTCTAAATCTAATATATTTACATGAATATGCCTTCCAAATAATCATTCCCTTGCTAATGGTCAGGCCTGTATCATACCAAGCTCAGAACAGTTGACATTTCTGAGATACACCCATGAATTGATCAATTTGACCACCTGTATGTGTTCCAGCCATCTTCAGCTGCGATAGCGATGATTACTTATTTAGTTGCTTATATAATTCTCCCCAGTTCTCTCACGTTCGGGATCCAGCCAATGCGTTGACTTGCGTTCTTCAATACCGTTTTTCTGATATAGACCGTACGCATATGTGACAGTATTTCACTCAGTCTGTATTGTCACTCTCCTAACTCATGTCCAATTCTCCTCAGAATCTAAACAGATTATTAAAAATGGCTCCTCCATAATGGCTTTCGACATGTCGTGTCGATAATATTTATTAGTAATAATAGCATAATGATGCTTTCTTTGTAATATTTGTCTTATTTTCAATGGTGCCTTGGAATGTATTTCCATTGACTATATCCGAGTCATAGTGATTATGATGGTATTTATGGAGGCACTTTTACAAAAGCAGTTTTTTTTGTCTATTTTCTGTTGCTTACAGCAGTTCCTGCCTCTGCATGTTAAGTTTATCGGTTTGACATTCTCACTTTGCAGTTTTTCTTTCCCTTTCCCCCCTTCATTTATGTAACATTGCTCCTTTGAACGTCAGAGAGCAGCACCCCGGTTGCCTTCAGAAAGCCTTTGATTGCTACACAACATTTCCCAAGCTACAGCTTTACATGTGTATAATGTATGTGTGTGTATATAAGATTACATTTTTTATATATAAGCTTAATTTCTTTTTAGCAATTAACATTCAGCGGTGTTATAAATGAGTGTACTTCTAAATCATAGGACTGGATTTAATTAAACTATGGTTAAATGCACTCGCACAGTTGCTCTCTCGCTATTCAGAGCTCAGTTCTGCCAAAGCTTTTCATGTACTCTGAGTGAATTGTGCTGCTCAAATGTGAAATGCAACAAAAAATATGCAAACATGTTTCCTATTCTTAGCATGAAAAACAAATTCTGAAGAAACTTTCAGAGGACGAATACTGGGAAAAGATTTGCAAGCCAAAAACAATGTGATTTGTACAGTTATATTTTTACTTTAAAAAAAAAAATAAAAATTGGCCAATTGCTTCTAGCAAGTGAATAATAAAGACCAGCATGAAAGAAAGAACAATATATTGACATTTTGTATCACATTAGTCTGCATCCTGGTCAAATACATTCATCAGATTATGTTTTATTTTGAAATATGCTTATTAGTCAAAGCTGTAAAATACATCAGCCATTCAGACGTGTTGGAGAGGTTGGAAGGGGGGGGGGGGGAGTTGGAATTTAGAGATTCAATGTAACTGGCAGTGGGATTTTGGGGCTTGGCTTGTATATTCTGAGGCTATATTCAAATCTGTGATGCAGTAGTAACATGTTCTTCCCTGTTCCTCTGGTCACTGTGGGTGGATGGATTGGGAGATAATGGTATAACCATTGTCAAGAATATGGTATCTATAAATATAGTAATGAATTTCCATGTACATAAAAGTATAACATGGTACAGATTAATTTTTTACATTGCTTTCATATATTTATGTGTGTGCGTGTGTGTGTGTGTGTGTGTGTGTGTCAGTCAGATACTGTGTATTTTCTGTTTGCATACAATGAGCACATGCCTCTTACATTCTGTACAAATTGTGTTATGGGTAATAATGTACCCTTTTTCACAGAGGGACATCAGAGAAACGGCTCGTGTCTATTTATATGCAGTCAGATCTTCTGCCCTGATCTCTCTGACATCTCATTGGCCGACATGAACAACGAATGGGGAGCCTTTGCTTCGTCTGTGCCCAATGAATAAATAATATGTTAGAAACTTTTAAGTGTCTATTAGCTTTGAAGGCTGGGATGGAGTGCGATCCCACCTTGCAAAATTCCTCAGGCTGGATCAGGTTCGTTGAGAAGTAGTGATGGACGGCATTTTTGAGGTCTTGACTCAGATTCTCATTTGGATTGTGGTCTGAACTCAAGGACAAAGTCTCTTCTTTTTAAGCCTCTTCTGTGCTTTTTTGCAGTTGACTTTGCATCATTGTTATGGTGATATAAAACTTCTTCCCCCGCTCTGAGCCTCTTGGCAGAATATAGCAGGTTTTTGTTTGGGAACTCTCTGTAATGTGTGCCATTCATCTTTCCGTCAGTCCTGACAGGGCTGCCTGTCCCTGCCACAGAAAATCATCCCCATAACCTGAAGCCGTATTTTAGAGTAAGGGTTTGTGTTACCGGGCTGGTGCGCAGTGTTCGATTTGGCTCATATGTACCACCTCGCGTTAGGGCCAAAAAGTTCTGCTTTTGTCTCGTCAGACAGAAAAACTTTCCGTCGCATCTCTTCCAGACGCCGTTGCCCCAAATTCTGTGAGGTTGAGCATATGCTTGGTGGTCAGCCAGGGCTTCTGTACAGCCCTACCGAAAAAGGCCCTTTTCCTGTGCAATTGGAGGTTGTTGATCACGGACATTGTCTGTCGCAGCCACTAACATCTGAAACTTATTCTGTGTCACAGCTGGTCTTGCAGTAACCTCTTTGATAAGTGCCTCGTTTGCCCCAAAGCCCAGCTTGAGGGGTGGGGGATGAGGCCAGTGGGTTTGCTTGGTCGAGGCAGCGTGGCTTTACTTTCACACTCCTTTCACTTCGGTGCAATGCACTGCATTGAACTCCAAGGGATTTTCAATGGCTTAGCAATGGTATTGAAACCTTGTAGCCTTAGGTTTGTGCCGCTCTGTAATCGTCTGTCTGATTCGTCTCGAATGCTCTTTCATCTTCATGTTCAGTCATTTTCGTTTTCAGTCTGTTTTATTCTACCATGCTGTAGGGATGTTTATATATACAAAACCGATAATAACAGGTGATGCACTAACTTATGATGCCGGTGGAATAAATCAACAAATTGTGTGATTTTTAAGGTTATGCCAGGTGCTGGGACAAGTTTGAGCTTGGAAGTACAAGGGATATGAGGACTTTATACCTGTTTCATTTTTATTTTTGGGAATTTGAACACTTCTCACTGTGTTGACAAGATGAACAAGATGTGGAACAGTATGAGAAAAAAATCTTGCTTCTGTCCGTTTCAGATACTTATTCTGTGGTGAAATGTGACAAAAGAAATTGGGACCGAGTACTTTTTCATGGGAATGCTACATTTCTGGCAGATTTATTTCACTAATTTTTAGATGATATTAATTGCCAGAGTGCTGGACAGCCACATAATATACTAAGTTTTGCTTTTATTACTTTTGGCATAAAATGATAATACATATAATGAGATATTAAATTTAATATACACAAAGAATTATTAAAGAAAAAGTAATATGTTTTTTTTCCCGGAGATGACATGTATCTCTCTTGCTGCCACTTCCGAATTGAAATGATGAAAAATCTTTCTTCTCGTAAACTGCTCTCCAATAGAAAGCAGAGTTGGACCTTACAGCGATGCTGTTATTGGAATTTCAGACCCTAAATAAAAAATTCCCACTATGCTTTGTGGTTGAGAAAACGTTTACCCGCTATTTTGAAATCTGTCCTCGCAAACAGTCGTGTCAGAAGAGTATCAAATTTTATGACTGATAAATCATGTCTTTGTTGATCACACAATGACAAACACCCAGATGATTGAACATAAAGTTAGCCTTGACCTCCTGCTTTAATGGTATCAGTACTACGGCTTTTCCCCCTTTTTTGATTAGAAACTAAAACAAATAGAATAATAAGAGGCCACAGTTTCACAACTACACAGCAATCACTACTTTGGTGGGAACAATGTTGAAATTCTTTTGAAAAAACTTTAAAAGGCCTTTTCGTACTGTGAATTGATGTGGCAGTTACAAAAAAACTATGGTATTCCAAATATATAGCACTCTCAAATTTGGTACACTGCATTTTTACTCATATTCGTTATTCTGGTCCAAAAAATTGATAGAGACAATAACAACAGCCTGCAGTGATACTTCACAGCTTTCAGACTGTTGGACTTCTGCGGATCACACAGTCAGGCTGAAGTAAGTGAAAGATTAAATCCAAGGAAGGATTGTTAGACAAGAAAATCCTTTGAACTGAAGTAGAATATAAAAAGATAACTCACATATTATACAAAGATATTTATAGTCTGCCATATATGCTTTGCGTTTGACACAGCATGTCCAGATCTGATACAACGTAGCAATGCAAATGGAAAATCATGTAGGGCCAAAAGGATATTGCGTCATGAAAGACAAACACACCAATAGCTCAGTTTCCACTGAATGAGGCTATCAGATGCAAAGAAGCATATAGGCAGGTGCTATTTGCTAGGTATGATCTCCTTTGTAGGCGAAGAACCTCAAAATCCTGTGTATTTTATCTATCCACTGGCCTGTTGTAATAATTATTGCTCTAGTGCAATCCTTAATGATTAGGCATTTTACAATCACTTAATTAAGCCTTTTGGCAATGTCTTTTAGCTTTCAGATTTCGATTAGAAAACCAAATGTACAAACATACCACCTGGAATGTCCAAATTTAAGTCCCTTACTCATTTATCTACTAAATGATCTGTCTGCCTTCGTTTGATACGGAGAAAATCCTCTTCCTTTACTTTTGAAATTACTAGTACAATGTCCATGCAGAACAGTTTACTTCAGGCTGCTTTCAGATAGGCTCATTAAACAAGCCAGCATGGGGTGCTTTAGCAAAAAAATCACAGCGAAAATAGTCTTTCGTGGCCAGTGGGCTCTGCCTGTTGGAGATGGCTCTCCAGGAAGGCACAGGTGTTGGAGATTATCTAACCATTCATCTGGTAGCTGCACACCTGTCTCCCAGTACTTCAGAGTGAATTCCCTCCCGAAATAAGTGCAATATAGTGACTTACCTATTTG